CGAATTAAGATTTTTTTTTTTTTTTTTTTTATTCCTTTAACAAATGTTGTATTTCATCCCCTATTAAATGAGAAACAAATTAATAAAACATGGCTACGATTTAGCTAAAACAATGAAACCAAAAAAAAGGGACGGTTATGGATTAATAACGTCCTCAAGTTCTCTCGGGATCAACAAAGTCCACACACAATGTAAATTAGAGATTCATTGTGCAGTGTTGTCAACTTCGAGGAGCGTTCTTTACAATTTAAGTAAAATTTTTGTTTTTCATGCAGCCACATATAAATGCAGGACTGAATCCGCTAAATTATTGTTTCATTAGTCACTAAAAATGTTTTGACATCATTGACAGTGATAACCATAGCAATGAAAAATGAATGAAAATCAGTGTTGGCTGAATGTGTTTGTTAAATTATGACTAACATTTTCTTAGTAGTTTCATTTTTTTTTTTTGTTAAATCATATGAACAAATAAATAGTGTTCTCACTTTTTGAAGAATAAAAAGTGATTAGTTAATTCACGGACATTATATTTTTCGACATGTCATGCAGGGCTCTTTAAAAGGGAATGGATGTGCTAAAAAAAGGACATAATGAATAAACATGCGCGTGATCTGTTGAAATGCATTTTACAAATTATTAAATGTTTTATTTGTGACATTAATGTGGTCACATATTGATGAGTGACGAGTTTCACATGTGACTGGGTTGTATTTACCACCACATATACATGGTGGCCAAACTATCTTTGTTGCAGCAATGTGATGCCCAAGTCCAAGAAAGGTCGAGATAAAGACGGAGAAGATTCTGATGATGACGATGAAGATGATCTTGATGATGAGGAGGTCTCTTTGGGCAGCATGGATGAAGACTTTGAAGATGAACTTGAGGATGAAGGTGGAGAGTTTATGGACATAGAAGAAAAAGATGATGATGATGATGCAGGTGTGTCAAATCTTTCATTATTAAAGTTAAAAATAAGTATGTCTTCGTATTGTCAAAGATAATGCAAAATGAGAAATGGAAAAGATCTAAAGGCTGGGACACACCAAGCTGACTTCAAAGAACTAGCAGCGACAAAAGCCGATGGTGTTGTCGCCTCGCATCAGCAGCGTCTGGATCAAAAAGCTGCACTTGAACACACTGCTCAGACTACAACCGACTACAATCTAACACGTTCTGTGCCTGCATGAGAGGAATTAACTGTCTATATCAGCAGATATCAATAGTGAATATTCGTCATTCAAAAGGACAAACCGAATCAAAGATGTACGCAGATATACGAAACATAAACAAAGCAGTGCTTGCTTACCATTTTGAATATCAGTTATGTTGATAATTTTCTTCATTTTAATTGGCTCATGTTGTTATGCAAACATTTGCATATTGGAATGCTTGTGTAAGATCACGTAACATTAAAACAGCCTTCTCTCTGTGCCGCCTGTTTTCGTCACTTTTGCTTTAATTCTCGAGCACGGACTCGTTCGCTAAACTGAACATCCAATCAGAGTTCTCACTTGCGCCGATTACAATAATCTAACCTTGAGGTCATGAACGCATGAATTAACGTTTCTGCATTTGACATTGAGAGCTTAGGTCATCATTTAGATATATTTTTGAGATGGAAAAATGCAGTTTTACAAATGCTAGAAACGTGGCTTTCAAAGGAAAGATTGCTATCAAATAGCACACCTAGGTTCCTAACTGATGACGAAGAATTGACAGAGCAGCCATTGAGTCTTACACAGTGTTCTAGGTTATTACATGCGGAGGTTTTAGGTCTGATAATTAACACCTCTGTTTTTTCAGAATTTAGCAGTAAGAAATTACTCGTCATCCAGTTTTTTATATCGACGATGCATTCCATTCGTTTTTCAAATTGGTATGTTTCGCCGGGCCGCGAAGAAATATAGAGCCGAGTATGATCAGCATAACAGTGAAAGCTAACACTGTGTTTCCTGATGATATCTCCCAAGGGTAACATGTAAAGTGTGAAAAGTAAGCGGCCCTAGTACGGAGCCTTGAGGTACTCCATACTGCACTTGTGATCGATATGATACCTCTTCATTCACTGCTACAAATTGATGGCGGTCCGATAATTACAAAGGTTTTATAAAAAATAATATATTGCATGAGTAAATAATAGTCAGAATTAGTTTTCATTTAAAACTGTTGCAGCTTAAACTTTTAGGTATAAAGTTGTTTCACTTTTGATACATTATCACATTCGATAAAATATTTTATGGTATTCTGAGTGTTTTTCATTGCATTGCATTCATTGCAATTGAAGCTTTTCTTTTGATATAATTTTTTGTTCATACAGCAACCTTTCTGTTTTAATTACAACAAACATGAAACCATGTTTTATTATATCCATGTGGTACGGTAACTGTTCCAGAGCCATTTATTCTGCTTATACCACAAAGTATTGAATTATAGCACTTTGCCAGTTCCGCTTAATTAGCTGGTTCAGGTGTTTGATTAGTGTTGGAGCTGAACTCTACAGGATGGTAGCACTCCAGGAGCAGGTTTGGATACCCCTAAAAATTGACTTTGGATTTTTTTTTTGGGTTTTTTTTCCTCGTCCATTTTTTTTTATTTATTCAGTGTTTTTGTAAGATTCACCCCTACATTTTCCCAATCAGCTGAATAAACTCAGTTTCCTGTGTGTGTGTGTGTGCGTGTGTGTGTGCGTGCGTGTGTGTGCGTGCGTGTGTGTGCGCGCGTGTGTGTGCATCATCCAAAAGGTGCTCAACCTGCAAAGAAGAAAAAGAAAGGAAAAATGGAGGACCAGTCAGTGTTTGCATCAGCTGAAGAGGTAGAGGATTTATTATGGGCTGAATTAAACAATGTTACACTTCACAACATATTTTACATTTTTTAAAGACTAGTATTTTATAAATACTAAACTGTGTATTTGTCTGTTTTCTGTTGCAACAGTGTTACTTTCATGTTTTGTATCACTCTGATTTCACCCTCTTTTCATGTTAGTGAAAGTTACAATGGCTAATTAGTACCACTTTGTCTAGTAGTGAATTACACCAAGGCCATTTTTGCAGTCACTTTACAGTCTCCAGTTAAAGCAGGGTGACTCCACCCACAGTTATGATGGAAGTGCTTAGCCAGTTATTCCTACACCAAAAACGTGCCATATTATATATGCAATGAGCAAATTTATAGACAATGTACATTTGTAAATAATTCTTAGTAAATTAGACACATTTGCACGTACATCACCTCAGAAGAGAGGAGATTTTAAGCAACTTTAACAAAAATGCCGCTGAATGAAAAGAAAATGTCTTTCTATTGTCTTTTTAAACAGTTTGGCTGTTTGCTGGAAGAAAACACGAGCTTGAAGTTTGACAACAGTGATATGAATGCAATGGCCAATACGGACAAAGCTGGTGAGTGCTGAAAATAGATTTGTTTTCCAAAAGAAAAATTAGTTCATACACAACAATAAAGAGTAATATGTTTTATCATTCCAAATTGTTCAAAACGTTTCTGTGAGTGAAATCTGTTGGAAGAAACTTTAGATTTGCTGCTTTTGTGGAGCGAAATCTTACCTCATTCTCCTGTGTCTCTTCAATCAGATGTTAAGCAGCTGAAGTGGGAAGTTAAACGGAATGACTGGATTCATGGTAGAGATGTCAAAACTCTGCGACGGAAAAAGGCCATGTTCAACAAGAGAAAGTTCGGAAAGGCCCAAAAGCTGAAGAGTGTCAAAAGGAAGAAGTGATGACCAGAAACTAGAATAATAACTGTATCTTTCTCCCACTTGGTGGACCAGACCTCCTGATCTGCTTCACCTGAGCCTTAGATTCCTGTATACGTGACGGGGGGGATGCTATGGAATGTTTCTAAAATATACTAGTTGTAAAGTGGTTTAGTCACAGGCGTTTGCAGTGTTGTATTAAATCCAGGGTTCATCCATAGTTTAGAAAATGCTTTATTTTATCTGTTATGCTTCAATGTTTTAAAATGATAATATCTTGTGTACTATCTAATGTTTTCCAGTGTTTTTTTTTGTTTTGTTGGTCGTCACATACAGAATTGTTCAATTCAGTGGGCATCAGTAAACATATCGAGCACAATATTCTTCCACCAGTTCTAGTGTGAACCTACAGCGTTCATTTTCCGAGCATATGAAACATGTCAGCATATTTTTTTTTCCATATGTTTTGTCATTGCATCACAGTATTTTAAAAAGCAGATAAATATACAAGTACAAAACTTTGTGCAGAAGCTCTGTTTGCTTGTAATCTGATCTTTATACCAGCTGTAAACAGGGCCCTGGAAATAAAACAAAAAAATAAAGAATCTTCCCAAACTCCCTCTCTTTAACAAAACTGGAGATGAATGAAATAAAACTACTACAGTTTCCACAGTTTACAATCATCGAGAAATAACCTGAAACAACATGCACCTGACCAGTTACATGAAACATGGGCAATGTGAATTTGATTCACATTTCATGAGATGTTCCTCATTGGACAATGTCTCTCGTAGCCCATCACTAACAGATACATTTGGCTTGATGGTTATTTGGAGAGGAATAAACCCCTTAACATTACTAACAAAGCTAAAAATATTGGGTTTAGGCAATCTTGGCGTGATTCACAATGTGTCCAATGACCTGTCTTATATTATCATCCCCCTAACAGCAAATAGGATTTCTCCCTCCCTTTACTGCTAAAACAGCTTAGACACTTTTGGGAAGGCCTACAGCTAGATGTTGGGACATGGATGCAGTACTGGTCAAACCAAGTCAGACACCGCAAAGAAAAAGACGATACTAAGAGTATTCAATAAGCTCTGCTCACTCTCGTCACATCTTTCCTATTTCCTGCCTTTTCCTCCCTTTTTTGGCTTGTAAAAGAGTTAACATTAACTGCTTCAAATATCGGACTGTATCTAGACCTCAGAGAGGTCTAATACTGGGGTGCTCAACTCTGGTCCTGGGAACCCACCGCTTTGCACATTTTATATGACTGTCTTCCTTATTTAACACACCTGATTCAGGTCATCAGCTCCATGAACAGAGTATTGTGTGTCAGATAAGGGAAACGCAAAAATGCAAAGTGGTGGGTTTTCTTTTGGAAACTCCGAATGCTTTTGGAGGGAGCACACAGACATTAGTGTTGTCATTCTCACCTGCAAGCGTGAGTCAATGCCCATGTTCTTCAGGAAGGATCTCTGTGTGATGGGTCCCAAGCAGGTCACCTCATTTCCTGTCATTTTTCTCAGGTAACTGAAGTCAACATCTGCTGTCAAGTCTGCCATGCCAGGTGCCTCCAAGACATTGTGGAGTTGATGGCCTTTAAAGCCCTGCCACAGAAATTAACTTTTTAACAACAAAATACGGTGACTGCCTGACTCAAATTTCAGAAAACAGATCAGTCTCGTGTGGAATCAGTGGATGGGCTTTGGGACAACATTTGTAAAATGAATGTAAATCTACAGTACACTCAATCAATGGAACTGAACTTTATGGGGAGTACAGGTACATCTCAATAAATTAGAATGTCGTGGAAAACTTCATTTATTTCAGTAATTCAACTCAAATTGTGAAACTCGTGTATTAAATAAATTCAATGCACACAGACTGAAGTAGTTTAAGTCTTTGGTTCTTTTAATTGTGATGATTTTGGCTCACATTTAACAAAAACCCACCAATTCACTATCTGAACAAATTAGAGTACTTCCTAAGACCAATAAAAAAAACATTTTTAGTGAATTGTTGACCTTCTGGAAAGTATGTTCATTTACTGTACATGTACGTGATATAAATGAAGTTTTCCACGACATTCTAATTTATTGAGACGCACCTGTACTGAAGTGATTCTGAACACTTAAGTAGTAAAACATGACTTCCTGTTTCACTGGAACAAGATTGGGTATGTGAGCATTTACTGAGAATTTAACATTTTAAATTACTTTTAAATGAAGTATTTGCAGATATTGCTGAATGAGATCGAAAAGAGAGCCGGTAAAATAACCCAATCTTTCCTTCACTAGTGTGAATCAGACTCGGCTGTTCTTTTCTTCATTTTTCATCAAATAGCATGATGGTATACTGTTAACAACAGGAAAGGGAAAAAACAAGAATAGACATAGGAAATAAAACAGATATTTTATTAACAAATCTGTTGAGGACGGAATAAGCATTAGAAAGATGACTCGTATGGCACTTACTCTGAAAGTATCAGTTTTTGTTCCATCATGTCCATAGTCTACAATCAAGGCTGCACCTCCGTCCTCTGCAATCTGATTGGTCAGTTTCTGAACAATGACTCCACCTTCTGGACATACTTCCACATGCTGTCTGTTTTCATCCTTCTAAAAATAATAATTTACAGGGTTCAGTCAGTGAAAAACAAGGACGCCCAAGATGATGAAACAGAGAAATCTTTTTAAAACAGTTCAAAACACAACAAAATTATCTGATATTTTCGTAATCGTGAGCATCTATAAGGGTCATCCCTCTTATGATATTTAATATTTGATGGGTTTTTTGACATAGTTACACACCGCTCCAGGGAGTCAGAAATTGACTGCCAGGCGTCACCCTCTTTAGCCAGCAAATGCTGTAACTACACCATCACGATACGTTAACTGTTGTTAAAGTGTTGTGTGAATGTACATATTTGATATTTATTTCTTATATTATTTTATATATTTTATATATATATTTCCGTTTAACCTTACTACTTTGGAAAGCATTGCTGTTATTTTTAAATGTACTATAGAATTAAAATTGTAAAATTAACATTGCATTTCTTCCCATCAGCTGCCTGTGATCAGTCACATGACAATGTTAACAAAAGAGGAGGAACTCACCTGTATAAGAATGCTGGAGGCCAGTGTAGGACTGTGAGAAACCACAAATCTCAGTTTTTCTGGACTTTCAGGATCAATGTCAACCATCACCTCCCGCCAACCTTTCTCTGTTCTCTAAACGAAAAAGAAAAATTCATTTTGGCCTGTAAGGTAATACTAATGTTCATGTTTGAAAAATTGTTATTTAAAATTCATTTATCCTAAGATTTTTAATATTTCATGTGAATACTGAAGTTAATAGTCCGATGTACCTGAAACTTGTGAACGGGTATAGCGTCAAAAAACTCATGGGCAAGGAAGACACTAAAACCTGGCAAAGGAAAGCAGACTTTAGCTACAACAAACTAAGAGCTTCAATTCCCATCAACTAGAGTTTGTGCAATTACATGACAGTTTGATGCATCCGTACCTCTTGGGATGTCCTCAATCCTGCGGTACCAGTATATAGGCAGGCCTGTACGTGTGGTGCCACTGCGGTAAACAGGCTGATCACCATCATTGGGCTGTGTATTATCAACAGTTAGACATTCAGCCTGAAATTGGCTCAACTTTGGGCTGACCTCCACAAGATGAACAGAGATATCCGTCTCACCCAGGACAGTTTTCAACTGACTGAAGACCTGTTACATATGATCACACTTGTTTATATAAAAATTCAAAGTATCCCCACACTTGTGTACATCCCCACACAAGTACAAAATGCATTCCTTTTGATACTCTATATTGTATTCAGTGTTGTTTGCATGTAGTATTTCTGAGAACAGCGGCACAACAACCAAATTTTGGGGGATATGCAATATATTATACAGCACCCTTTGCTGGTTGTCACCTTTGGTACATATAAGCAAAACCTTGCAGTGAAAAAAAGTCTTTGCAGTTTATATGCCAACAGCCATATCAACCTGCAGCCCAAGACTGGTTGCCCACTGAAGCTAAGCAGGGTTGAGCCTGGTCAGTAGCTGGATGGGAGACCTCCTTGGAAAACTAGGTTGCTGTTGGAAGAGGTGTTAGTGAGGCCAGCAGGGGGTGCTCACCCTGTGGTCTGTGTGGGTCCCAATGCCCCAGTATAGTCACGGGGACACTATACTGTAAAAAAAGCACTGTCTTTCGGATGAGACGTTAAACCGAGGTCCTGACTCTCTGTGGTCAAAAATCCCAGGATAATAATTTATGCATTTAGCAGACACTTTTATCCAAAGCGACTTACAGTGCATTCAGGCTATACATTTTTTACCAGTATGTGTGTTTTGTGTGATGTCCTTCGAAAAAGAGTAGGGGTGTAACCGCGGCATCCTGGCCAAATTCGCCCATTGGCCTCTGACCATCATGGCCTCCTAATCATCCCCATACACTGATTGGCTTCATCACTCTGTCTCCTCTCCACCAATAAGCTGGTGTGTGGTGGGCGTTCTGGCGCAATATGGCTGCCGTGGCATCATCCAGGTAGATGCTGCACACTGGTGATGGTTGAGGAGATTCCCCCCTTCTATGTAAAGCGCTTTGAGTGCCCAGAAAAGCGCTATATAAATGTAAGGAATTATAATTATTATATCCACACAAGGCAAAATGTCATGATTTAAACAATTAATTTATCTGTTCAGGGGGTATTCCAGAAAGCAGGTTATGTGACATACCCGGGTATGTTTTAAGGTAAGTAAGTGGATAAACTCAGCTTTTGGTTCCAAAAACAGGGGGAACTTTCAGTGTATGTAAGTAGCCATAGCAACTTGTTTTCTGAACATAACCTGCTCCGGAGTAGGTTATGTTTCAGGGTTAGTTCACTTCAGCGAGACTCTAGTGGGCATGACAGATTGCGCACAATATTATATATTATTACAACATAGTTATGTAATATAGTATGTTAATTATAAAGCACTAATATAAGCACTAATATGGTTACTATATTTATTTTTATTGGCATATATAATAGTTATCTGTATAAACAATAAAACACTATTATGACAAGTAATGTTTAATTTATTATATATATATATTTCATTTTATATTATCTCACATATCATGATCGCCATTTTCTATAATGTATTTCTATAATAAAAATACATATCTGATATGACTTATTATATAATTAGCATCAAACAAACAATATAATTTTTATTCTCAAGGATTAAAAATTAAACAGAAAAAAAAGAAAAATGACTGCACAACCACCAGTTAGGTGGCGATATGAACCAAGTATGCAAATGGACTTTTTACAGAAGAAGAAGAAAGAAGCAGCATTGCGTGCTTTTTCTTAGCGTCTGTTTCCATAGCGACTTGTCGATTCGTTGCTCTGTTGAGAATGTCTTGCGAGTAAGCCAGGAACATACTCTTTGTTGAATGAACTTGCTCCTGGATGCATTTTTGGAACCAACATAGATTGAATAAGCAAGGTTTGAGTTAATAATCAACCGAGAGTTCAGGGTTTAGTAGATGGTAAGTTAAACTTGCTTTCTGGAATACACCCCAGACCAGATGCAAATGTATTAATTGTATTTTATCCTGATTTAAATGACAATGTTTTATTAGCATTAAAAAAAAAAGTAATCTGTGATATAAGGGATGGATAATTCTTAGCTTCAGATACAATCTCCCTAAATTAAATGTAAGTGTGTCACCCTGGAAACACCGCTCTACAACTAATCAGCCGCTCTGAGTACACGCTGATCGAACACAGCTGAGTTTCATTAAGAAGAGGAGATATAAACAGAAGCAGAGCAAGAAAGGAAGGAGCAAGCTCTCCACTTTACCCTCCTATGGTGTTTATTGAGACTTCAATAAAACCACCCTCTGGGGTTTTTCTGTTGACTTCAACTACATCTGTGTCCATGTTCTCATTCATCCTGCCACAGTGGTGGAGAATGCGGGCAAAAAAAGTGTATTGATATAAAAGACCCATGCTAATAACATCTGTTGTTTTTCTTCGCAGAATCCGCTCTCTCTCTCACTCGACATGGAAGAAGTCATCAGATGGCTCATTGAGATTACGATCCACCAGCAGCAGTTCAAGGAGCAACTCCCCGCCAGACAGGAATGTACGGAGTAGGTAGTGGAGCAGATGAGGCGAGGGGCAGTAGGATGAACCTCTCTCCCAGATCCCCGCCTTTCAGCTACTCACCAAGCTCACCAACCAGGATGATATCGAGGCATACCTCCACACATTTGAGGTTTAAGAGGGGCGAGAGGGCTAGGAGAGGGAGGAGTGGGCCCGCATTATTGCGTCCTAGAGCTGTCAAAATGACTGAAAAACTAAATTCTCATTTTGTACTTAAATATTATCAAAATTCGAATTATATTTGAATTTAAAATGCATAATTTCAGTTAGGATGAAGAAAAGCTTTTGGCTTCTTTTCTGAGGCCACAAGAGGGTGCATCGAGCAAAAGTTTATTCAAAGCATAAGATAACATGACTATCTGTGAAAAAAAGTGCATAATGTTTAAAATAATGTTTATAAACCAATTATAATTAAGTTGCTTAAACAACTATAAACAAAAATGCATCATCTTTGTATGCATAGTTTAATACAAAGGGTGGAAAGCCAATCACACAGAGTACATTTTTCATTTAAAAACATGAGATGCAGTGGGATGGGGGAAAAAACCCACCATAAAGTCTCTATGTTTTTTTCAAAGTTAAACTTGCTTTAATTTTACATGACTTTCTAATCATGCGGCTCCTTTGTGCGAGACGCGAGTGCAACTGTGATAGATGTCCCTCTAGAAAATGTGCGAAATATGTGTTCTGTGTGAACGGCTTGGTTTCAGTTTTGATTGAAACAAGACCTTCTCTGCATTGATGTTCTCTTTTTCCGCAATATTTTTAATGAACAACGCAGCAGCGCCGCATCTAGTGGCTTCAACTTGATAGGCTAACAAAAACATTATAATGCAACGACACTTACATCGTCATCGCATCTCGTGCCGCTGATAAGGCTGCCTCCTTAACGCACAACTAAAATTCGAATGCAACGTTTTTGCATTCGAACGTGGATTTTTATTTTAAACTCGACGAATATTCGAAATTCAAATTTTTTTTTGACAGCCTAACTTCGCCATGAAAAACCATGACCAACTAAACATGTTTTGGCATCTGTGGTGCGTTAAAAGTTTAGCAACGTCTGATTTGTGAACGAATCGTTATTTGTTGGTTCGTCCTTTCTTACAGAGGAAGAGCAGCGACCCTACTATTCCTTGCAGCCCCCAAAGAGCGAGCATTATGAGATGTTAAAAAAAGAAATCCTGGCAGGAGTGGGGCTGACTCCTGTCTGCGCAGCCCAGCAGTTTCATGACTGGTCGTATGACCAAGCACCGGTGCAGACTCAGGCTGCTTAGTTAATCCGGCTCGCTCACCTCAGGATCTTAACTTGCGATCCTACTGCTACCCAAGTCGCTGAGAGAATGGTTATTGACCGCCTGCCTCCCTGGCTGACCTTATTGAAGCGGTGGAGCTGTCAGAAGCAGCATGTGCTTGTGATGCTGGAGAGAGAGTGGCAACAATTCCCTGGAGCAAGGCAACGAACCGGCGACTGCTGGAGGGCACCTCTCAACCAGTAAGCAGGTCGGCAGCCCCTGTACCACAGGTTGAGCCCATGCCCACTGAACCTCGTCCCCAGGGGCTAGGGCATGGACAGCAGGTTGTATCATACATCGCGCTGTACTGAGAAAGGCACCTGAGCAGTCAGTGCAGGTCGAAGGAAAGCTGGTAAAAGCTAGGGCTGGGACAATAAATTGATGCATCGCAATTCGTGGATCGATTCTGAGATTATCTGAATGCATTGCGAATCTCTCTAGAATCAATTCTGATCTTAGTTTTTAACAGTAGACGGCGCTCTAGGCTAGTTTTTAACCTCACACTCGAATGCTCACAAAGAAGAGCCCTTGTGCATTCGGCACAAGTCATGTTAGTGGTTAAATGTACTTGCACCTTGGCTTTTATGCTTTTATGATGTGAGATTAATGTAAACACAGCCCAATATGAACACCCTTGTAATTCACTTCAACCTTTTCAAACTGTATGAATGAAGAAAACAAATGCAAAGAAAACAAAAATAATTTATTCAACAATTCTTCTCCCAGAGTTAATGTCTTCTGCCATTTTGGAGAGTACCATGACGCATGTGCGTGCTTTTCCCAGAACGTAATCAGCGTTGTTTACGTTCAGGAGAAAACGCGCGCATGCTAAACGTAAACACCCCGCTGATTATGTTGATTTCACATGCGCCGTGGTACTCTCCAAAATGATGGAAGAAGAGGTAATTGTTGAATAAATTATGTTTTTTTTTTGCTTTCTTTGCACACAAAAAGTATTCTCGTAGCTTCACTAATTTGAAGTTGAGCCACTGATGTCACATGGATGCCCTTGTTAGGTTTCTGGGACTGGGAACATTGCAGTTGTGTTGCTGTCTATGGGAGGGTCAGAGAGCTCTCGGATTTCATCAAAAACATCTTAATTTGTGTTCCGAAGATGAACGAAGGTCTTACGTGATGGTGAGTAATTAATGACAGAATTTTCATTTTGGGGTGAACTATCCCTTTAAGCATCATTGTGACACACAATTTCACTTTAAATAAAAGTGAGTGAAAATAAAATGAAAGACCAAGATGACAGATTTTTCCACAGCCTGTTTTGCTCATATTTACCAATATTAGTACATTTTATATCACCTTCCTCTACCAGACAATTACAGTCTAACAGGCGATGGGGTGTTTAAACCAAAAATATTCATTGGAGTATTTACCCTCAGGATGTCACTGGCCAATGAGCCTCTACCTGGTCCGAGCTCCACTAACTGGAACGTGTTGGATTTCCCAGCCGCCATCCACTCACTGATACACCAGACACCCAACAGCTGTGGAAGACCATATATAACTGTCATAAAATAAGAACATATTTTTATATGGTTGTAGGTATCAGTCATCATTTTATTCAAAACCATGCTTACCTCTCCGAAAATTTGACTGATCTCTGGTGACGTAATAAAATCACCACCTGCTCCAAGCATGTCATTTTTCACGTAATATCCCTAAAACGGCAAACAACAGACTTTTGGTCTTTGGTGGAAGAGCGCTTGCTATTATAACTACCTCTTATAATGTCTACAAGTGGGTGGGTGGATGGGTATGTGTTTGCATGAATGCATAGACATTCATATAATCCATATGAATTAAAAGGCAAAAGGGTGCAAAAAACTTTGCATACAGAATGACCAGCTTCTAAAAATTGCATGCATTAGGAGGTTTTTGATCTTTCCATCTCACCATGCTCATATTGTTTTTACCACATATTGTTTATTACAGGGCTAATTTAACATTATCTGAGCTACAGATAAAATATTGTTCTATTTTATAACCTGTTACTAAGCTACGAAATGATGTAATACTGATATTCTTAAAGACAACAAAATTCAGTCATTTGGTCAACAAAATATGTCATATGCAGAGAGTGGGAAAATGCTGCAAAGGAAAGGTTGTGTGAAAAGCCCTTATATATGGAGATGGTTTGAGCGTGTTTATGCAAATGACCAACCTCGGGTATGCGGCTGCTCATTTAGAATAATCCAAATTTTCATTTTTGAGGTGAACTATTCCTTTAAGAACATATTCATGTGCATATACTTGTGCTGTGAATTAGGCGGCATTTTTTGTGAGAAGTTCTCCCATGCATATCCATAATCTATGTGAATGAGAACCACTGTTCCCCATGTGACTTTATTCAATTTCTGTTGTAAGCTATAACTTACCTAAAAACTACTGTTCGTAGACCTTACTGGAAAACTTAGAGCACTGCTTATTTCATTTGTATCTTTGTTCTGTTGCATTTATTCGTCCTTTTTGTTTGTGATTAGTGTCTTTGCTCTTATTGTATTACTGAGTTTATTTTCCTTCTATAATTGGTTTGAGGAACCTTTATTTACATTAGTTATCCTAGTATTAGTTTTTGCTGAATTATCAAAATTGGTAATTGTGAAATTTCACTCATATCTACAATTACTCATTCGTGAAAGTTGATCATATTACCCATCAATTGTGTGACATAATTGTGATTTAAATATTGACCAGAATTATTATGTTTTTTGCCATAATCGAGTAGCCCAACCAAAAAAATTACATTCATCCACAGAAAATAAAATGATCTTGGGATTTTAATAACCAATATTTAGTCATTTAAATAAGGATTGTGATTCATGTGAAAAGCTATATTTTTACCCAGCGCTAATTGTAAGGACACAAAAAGTTTAACAGTTCTATAATATACAGTACAAAAAGTAAATGTGACATGATACATACCGCCACTGGATTGGTGAGTGCCTCCCTCATGTACTCAGCGACTGAAATTGGACCCGTGGCAGTAATTTTGGAGATAAGATGTTTATGGATGGATGAGTTTGACTCCAGTCTCTGGATGGAAGAGTTTGACCAGGATCTGTTTTGCCACATGGTCCACCGCACTACAACAGACACCACCACTGCATCATTACTCATTTACATATCTGCCTGTACTGTATCTACGTTTGTGAGCTGTGTTTCCTAGAAGGCTGAGTGACCGTGGGGTTGTTCGCCAAATCCAGTTTTGGTTTAGTTTTCCTCATACCCTGTTGTAAGCTTTCAGAACACATGGAAAATATGCCAAAAGTTGTATGTAATCATTCTGTGATACTTTTGCATTTTCTTTTAAAGCCTGAAGCTGGTCACTATTTGCAGCAATTATATAGATAAGTAGGCCTACAAGTGGGGGAAAAAAATCTTTTTGTGGTCTGAAAAAAAGGTCCTACAGCATTAAAACAACATCAGGGCGATAATAATGACTAAATTGTCACTTTTAGGTGAACTTAACAAATGTGTCACAAGGCACCCTTACGGAACAAAACTATATGGGAATATACTGCAAAATACAGTATAATTGATATATTACATAATACATTTCCATATATTGGAAACTAGAGCTTATATTTTTCAATATACAGCAATATATGCATTGACAAATATACATACAAATATATTTAGAAATGAAGACAAAGATAAATCTAATATTTATAATATTTGAGTCTTTATTGCGTATATATTGCACACAGATGCTCCCATATAAATGTGAATGTATGTACACACATATATACACACATTCTCACAATTAGTTAAAGCAGATCTCTAGTTCCCAGCATGCTTTGCTTCTGACTGTTAAAGGAGAGTAAACATGTTAAAATTAAGTGTTATGTCATGTGTTTTTGCTAAATATTAATATAGGGGGAGATCTTTTAGTGTTTAATGTTGTATTATTTTGAAATGTAAAAGGGTTTCTGGTGTGTGTAAGTTTGTGGGGTTATTATTGTCCAGAAGAGTAGAGCCTGTGGTTAGGAAGACGATTGGCCAAACACTTAAATTGTATGTTACTTTATTTATAAAGTAATGGCTGTGCACTTATCAGCACAGTGATAGTCTGTTCACCAAGTGCTTTATTATGAGCAGGTGTGCTTATGCTATTGTGAACTAGCTATATTTTAAAATACGAAAAGTGTATATCATAAATGATTATTAAATATAAGAAATATATATTTCCATATACAGTATGTGTATATACCGCAATATATTTTTACACAAGCAGTGACATATCTTATCACATGTACATCTATGTATTATAATGTGTATTACTGAATATTAAATTACATATATTGTGATATATAAGTAAATATATTGTCACATATTTTTTAATACACGAAAGCATCAATTCCTTATGTATTATTCAATATATTGTAATATATTTACACAATAAATTATGTTACAATTTTTAATATACCGTTATGTCATTGATCATTATATTAGGAAATATCTTTTCTTTGCGTAAGGGGCAGTCCACAATACACAAGACACATAGACCCTGTTTACAAATATACAGTAAAACAGTAATAATACAGTTGACCCTGGTAAGAGTTTTTTCACAGAATGATCCAATACGACGTGTGCTCTAATTTTCAAGTGTCCTGAGGGCATACAATAGCGTTTGGTGAAAAACAAACTGAAATGTAATTTATTATTTAGCGAAAATCCTGACCATGGTCGTTTGGCTTGCCATGCATGACAGTGTGTTCATTGTATTGTTGTAAGGAAAATATGGGTTTATGAGATAATTCTGTGATGTTTCGTGTTTAATTTTTTTTTGTTGTTGTTTTTTATTTTTTTGACACAAGCTTCGGAGTAGCATATGTACACATATGTAACCAGCCTACTATAGCAGTGTATTTTCCGTATACACAGTATTTAACAGTTATTTGATCTGAATGCCAGAAGTTAAGAAATGTTATATTTTCCGCCGAGGATGAGTGACACTCGCAGAGCTAAGCATGCAACGTAGTGAGATCATGACAAGAGTGATGCACACTACTGTCTGAAATTTTTATTACACACTTTTATTTTTATGTTCTGCATCGTGTTCCATTACCAATATAGCAGTGTCTCACTCTGATTAAAATAAACTAATCTCACCTTCTGGCATTACCCGCTTCAGCCTCAGCAGAGTCCTCATGCTATATATCATATAACAATAATCATGGGAATAGATTCACAAAATATCAACATGCTGTCACAAGTCCTTTGTTCTGATTGGCCGAGGTTAGCCGAGGCTTCTTCTTCTTCTTACTCGTTTTTATTGGCGGATCGCAGTCACAAATTGAGCATTACCGCCATCTACAAGGCAATGGATCAGAGACTTAAAGGGATAGTTCACCCAAAAATGAAAATTTGATGTTTATCTGCTTACCCCCAGGGCATCCAAGATATAGGTGACTTTGTTTCTTCAGTAGAACACAAACAAAGATTTTTAACACAAACCGTTGCAGTCTGTCAGTCGTATAATATAAGTGGATGGGAATCACGGCTTTGAGAGTCATAAAACATACACAAACAAAACCTAATTAAACCCTGCGGCTCGTGACGATACATAGAGACACGGTGGATCGCAGACTTATAAGTGAATTACCGCCACCTATCTCTCAAATGGACCACTGACACTCTATCTACAATCTCAATTAGGAGTGTCAATGGACCATTTGAGAGATAGGTGGTGGTAATAAGTCTGCGATCCGCCGTAAAGCAAGAAGAAGATGCCTCAGGCGCCTGCTGTTGAGAACGCGCTCAGGAGGACGCACCGCTGCTCAGGACAGTTCGAACAGTTCGGGCATTGCCTGAATCAGAGGTAAAAAACGATATAAATACTGTTCAGTTTCTTGCACAGACCGATCGTTTTGTGTCTTTACACATCAATGTATCGTCATGAGCCGCCGGGTTTAATTTGGTTTTGTTTGTGTATGTTTTTTTTACTCTCAAAGCAGTGATTCCCATTCACCTCCATTATAAGACTGACAGACTGCAACGGTTTGTGTTAAAAATCTTCTTTTGTGTTCTACTGAAGAAACAAAGTCACCTACATCTTGGATGCCCTGGGGGTAAGCAGATAAGCATCACATTTTCATTTTTGGGTGAACTATCCCTTTAAATCCCTTTTCGCCAGACCTATCAGGACTGGAGCTTTCGATGTCGACTTCAGCTCCTCCATCTACAGCCCAAGTCCCTCCCAGCCCAGCAATATAGGGTTATTATTAACATAGCAATAATAATAATCTATATTCTGTTAATTAAATTATGAGTTCTTTTTAGAAATGTTATTAACAGATTATCGCCTCCTACTGGATTCAAAATCTCTTTTAATGTTAATTGCTGCTCACCGTTCTTCTGAAGGTCATCGATTAGTTTACATCTTTCCTCCACATATCTATTACACTGAATAAGTACATGTTCTACTGTTTCTCTGACTCCGCACCAGTCACACATTCCTGTTGGATGTTTTCCTATTATTTGCAATGTTGAATTAAGTCCTGTATGTCCCAACCTTAGTCTTGAAAGAACACAATCATCATTTCTTCACCATCTTGAATTCCTTCCTCTGCCTACCATTGGTTGTATTGAATATAGATGCCTGCCCTTTTGCTCATTATCCCAATAAATTTGCCAGTTTTTATTTATCCCCCTTTTAATTATTGACTTAAGTTCAGATTTACTGTACTGAATTTGCATATCTATTTCCTTTGCCATTACTTGTTTTGCTAATTGGCTTCCTCATTCCCTGCCACTCCTGTATGTGCCGGAACCCACAAGAACTGAACTTGCCCCTGAACTGAATCTTATTTGTCTGCTGCAACATATATAATAACTGAAGGAACTCCAAGACAATATCTTGTCTAGTTTCAGACTGTTGAGCATCCAAGCATAATAAGGCTGAACTTGAATCCGAGCATATTAGTGTTTTGTTTATCCCCATTTCATATATTTTATTCATTGCTATCCAAATTGCTAGCAACTGTCCTGTAAACACTGATACATGATTTGATATTCTTTTCAACCTTGGGATGACGTATACACTACTCCCACCTGACCATTCTGTGGATCCTTACGCACACTAAATCCACACTATCTCGAATACCGCTCCAGAGCACTATTCGAGGCTTAGTGTATCCCATCATGCATCATGTTCTAGAAATAATCCTGAGACTTTTTGCCGAGATCTCACGAGAGGTCACGGAAACCTTTCCAATGTAAGTTAAATATTAATATAATAATTAGATATTACATATAATTTGGTAGTAAAACTAAATGCTACACGTTTTATTGGTGCAAAGGTGAGTATATTTATTTTGTGCATCATTTGCAACTGCTTTTTATCACTTAGCCTAATTAGAAGCACCAGAAATTAAATTGTGTCATCTCTGTTATAGGGACTAACGTTACTGAACAGACATTTAGAAGATTATTTTACATTTAAATTTAAACTCTGTAAACACTTGCGTTTTTACAACACTATAAGTGTGTCCCATCAGGTAATGAAAAGTTGTACACACACTTGTGGTCTTCATGCTCACTTGAACACTTGGGCCAGATACAGGAAATACATCAAATAAGTAGTCAAGTGATCGAGTGCAAAGACCGCAAGTGTGAGTATTTGGACAAGGCAACAGTCTAGTATTGCTATAATCATCATTTTCTTCTTCTTTTAATTTTATTGGCGATTGGCAAACCAACTTAAAGGTGCATTTACCGCCACCTACTGGACTGGAGTGTGGGCAGTAGCTTGATAGAAAGGAAGGAGACGAGGGGGAAAAAGTACCTATATATTTGAAAGTGACGTGAGGCCAAGTATGGTTACCCATACTAGGAATTAGTGCTCTGCATTTAACCCATCCTTAGTGAACACACACACACACACACACCGTGAACACACACCCGGAGCAGTGGGCAGCCATTTATGCGGCGCCCGGGGAGCAGTTGGGGGTTCAGTGCCTTGCTCAAGGGCACCTCAGTCGTGGTATTGAAGGTGGGAGAGAGCACTGTACATTCACTCCCCCCACCTACAATCCCTGCCGGACCTGAGACTCGAACTCGCAAACTTTGGGTTACGAGTCCGACTCTCTAACCATTAGGCCACGACTTCCCCTTTCCTAGACATTGTTTTTCCTAGCAGATTTCCCACTATCATGTTTTGTTTTCCAACTTGTGTTTCTAAATTGCTCTAATCATTTATTGTTGAATGAATGGTTTTTAATGCCAGTCTGTCGGCTTTATGCTTCTTCTTCTTTCTTCTTTTGGACGTAATGGCGGCTGGCAAACCAACTTGAAGGTGCATTACCTACTGGGCTGGAGTGTGGGCAGAAAAATGTGCATAGCGTAAAATGTGCATACCGCTACCTACTATTTTGGAGTGTGTTAATTCGTGTATTCTTTTATTGACATTTATGTCAGATTGAGACATAAATTTGCCCATATGCACATGTCTATTATTTTGTGCCTTTGAACCATTTGTAAGTATTGAAAAATATCTAGGCTAGGCTATAGGCCTAATAGTATCAATTTATATAATTTAAATGATTATTTACATAATTAATACTTAATTAATATTAAAATTATTTTTGAACCAACTGACAGATAATATATTCTATATAATTATAGTTCACCTGCTTTCCAAGATAGGTTTGTTGTTGTTGTTATTTGGAGATGTATCATTTACATCACTTGCTCACCTATGGATTCTCTGTATTCTCTGCAGTGAATGGGTGCTGTTAGAATGAGAGTCCAGACAGCTGATAAAAACATCACAATAATCCACAAGTAATCCTTTTTCATTGGAAAAAGCATTATTATTGATTATGATATTCTGACCAGAAGTGACGGAAGTTAAATTACCTTAATTGATGGATTTGTTTCTTACAAACATGCTAGCTTTTCTCCTAACAAGACATTAAACATCAGACTGGAGTTGTGTGGATTATTGCGATGTTTTTTATTTACTGTTTGAACTCTTATTCTGATGGCACCCCTTCACTGTTTTAATGAGCAAGAGATGTAATTCTAAATTTATTAAATTTGTTGAAGATAAAAATTGCATAAAAAAATTTGCAATTGTGATTTGATGTATTCTTTTGCAGCTAATTTAATCAAAGGCTGTGTGATTGTACGTCATTCGTAGATGTTGGGTTTATGCTGATCTCTTTCGGTTCTTTGGTTCATTCAAGTCATGTCAGAAAGAAGATACATCACCATTGCTTCGACCAAATGACTGCATAATTGCAACTTCTAAACTCATAAATACAAACCTCCCAGGAGAACTTGTTGCTCTTTCCTTCAGTGATTATTTATTTAAAATCATCATACCAATACTTTTGCATTGCAATAAACAATGATTAAACAAAGTTTAATAAGCATTAATAACATCTTTTATGTGCTTTTCACTAAAGTAGTTGTTATTTTCTAAACAAGCTTGGTGTTTGTTGGTATTATTGTTGTAAGAAAAAGTCAATGTTTGCAAATGTCATTGTTTAAAAATAATCTTAATATAACACAGCTCTTACAACCTTATCTTGTTTTCGTTCCTCTCAAAAAATAAATAAATATCCTGACTAAAGTTAATCGCTTTTACTTGTGTAGCACATCGTTGCAAAATCGAGATCCATGTTGTCAACCACATCTCAGCTGCTTGATAGTTTATATTGTTGCAAAATGTATTATTGCTCTAATCTGCTGAATGTGACTATACAGAATTAAGATGTTAACAACATGATTTTAAGCTGCTTTGATTTAGACTATCTAAATAATAGGCCTAATAATAATAAACTATATTTTTATAGCACCTTTAGAAGTTGCTTCTCAAAACACTTTAGAAAAGTAAAAATAAATTGAAATACAAAACACCAAGATGAAAACATGCATCAAAGCAATTTAAGAAGAATATAATATAAAATTAAACAATTGCAAAAAAAAAAACACATAAAACCACTTAAAGATTCTGCATGTCTAAGTCCCGGTCACCCATAGAATGTAGATGGAAAAAAAAAAAAAAAAAACAGATTTAGACCTTGGAGTATATGGGCGGTTAAAAGTTCTGACAGATATTTAGGAGCCAAACCATTAAGGTTTCATGTAATGTTAGATTTTAAAATTCTCATGCATGCTTGCCTCCAATTTTATTATTATTTTAATTTTTTTTTGCATCAACTTTACAACCAAACAAGGTACATAATCACATTCCAGAATATAACCAATCTTATT